ATGCTGTGGGAGACTGTGTCAAATGCCTTTAAAAACAAAAGCAAAAGCCCAGAAAAACACCTGGTACTGCCCTGTTATTTACTGCTTCTTACACTGAATTTGTTTGGATCAAGCAAGGAGCAGTGTTTTCCTTCTGCCCCCTCCACCAGGTGAGGATGGGATCTTCCCCAGGGAATGCTACTGTCTCTTCACCTCTCCATTTCAGTTTTTTTTTTTTCCCCTTGTTAATAACAGCCTTTGTCACCAAAGTGGCTTTTTGGCAGCTCTCCCTGTCGTTTTGCTCTTCAGAATCCATTGCTGAGCTTTTGCCAGCAGTCTTGTTAATAACCAGAGCAGATCGTGACATGTCGAAGCCCTTTTCAGTCTGTGTTTATTCCTTGCCCAAAGATCTGGGGCTTCAAAACGTGCAGTGCAGGACACGTTACTCAAAGAAATCCTTCTGCCAGAAGCAGAACATCTCCCTGTGCTCATCCCACAAATCTTTGCAGGCCAAGACACTTAATTATTGAACAGTTAATGGCAGTGAATGCAAAACCAAGCAAGAACTCGTTATTTATCTGGGTATATATCTCATTCCTGATAGATATAGTTCGAGCCCTCGCTTGATGTGTTTTCACGTAGTGTGGGCAAAACTGACATTAGCTGCGCTACTTCTACCAGGAGAAACTCAAATTAAATCCTTTCCTAGAGCTGACCCTGAAAAATATAATGCTGTTCCGTATCAGTAGTCAAAAAAAGGAAAAGTCGGAAAGAATTTCACCCTTTTTATGGCAGCGAGCACTACCGTGGTTTGCAGCACTGGCTGTGCAGAGACTCTCATTCCTGCAAGGAGGGTCCTCTTTATGGGTTTGGTTTTTTTTTTTTTTTTTGGTAATCGGCTTTACTTGACAGATGACTCATGTTACCTTGCATTGCTTTGTTTTCACAGGGGTTTATATTTCCAAGTATGCAGACTGTCTTCACCCAAACCCCTGGTGTCACGGAAAATCAGGCTATATTGTCATTTGTAAGCTAATTAAGGTAAAATGCAAGTCTTGCTTTTTATGTGGAATGGTTTTCAGAAGCCAATACACAGTGCAAACAGTTTTTAAGGAGACATTGGTGCCCATAACTGTGGGGTGGGGCATAAAATCAGCTTTGAGATCTCATCGGGATTTTTGACTGCGGGATGTGTCAGACTGGAAAGCAAGAGATCAGACTGGGCTTGGCTGGTGGCCTTCAGGGAGGGCAGACGACGCAGAGGACCTTCCAAATTCCACCGCTAAGATCAGAAATTCCCCATAGGGTCACCTTTTCCCTGGACTCCTGTGGGTTTGGAGGATTTGAGGGGCTGACCTTCAGGTGGCTGCTCCCTTCAGCTCTCCTGAGCAGTGCTGGTTTATCTGCCCTGCCGAGCTCAGCCAAGTCAGGCCCTCCTGTTTGAAAGTGGAGAATGTGGGGCTGCAACACTGTGTTTGGGGAAAAGGAGAATTCAGGGGTCTTGTAAAATAAGTTTCTGCAAACGATTATGTGGTTTGTTTGTTGTTTTTTTTTTTTGTAAATTCTTTGGAACAGGGGAGGGTCAAGGTGGTACCTGAGAACTACACAACCAGCTATACCTGCCCATCTCCTGGCTACGACTGTCACATTGCAGTGAGCAGAAATAACACATCGTCAAAGACCAGCCACCGTCAGGCCTTCGAGCAGAGCCAGGTATCGGTTTGCAACAGGACTGTGCAGACAGCTCCCTTGCAGGCTGCAGGGGAACTCAGCGCGGGATCAGGTGCCTCGCTCATTCCTCACCTTTTTTTCATCTGTATTTCCCTTCTCACCTCAGTATTACGTGTACGAAGTGTCTGATGGCAGCCCTGCAGAGCGGCCCCGGCAGATCTGCCCGTACATAATTATCACCTGCCAGTACAGGGAGCCGAAGGAAATGCCCGTCTTAGCTTTAGAGAGCCTGTAAGCAACTTGCTCTTGTTCCAAAAAATTTTTTGAGCTGTTTTCCTTTTCCCTTTGATAACTGTTTGCCTTTTTGTCTCTTTTCTCTAGACCAGAACGTAATCACAAAGGTAGGAGCATCTGGTGGTTGGTTTTGTTTTATAAATCTACCTTTCCCTGTTTGCCCTGCTTTCCTCTTCTGCTTTCCCTGAGCTGTTCTCCCCTTTTTCTGCAGCATTGTACTGCCCGTGGAGGGGCCAGCTCTCCATCCGGGGCCAGCTTTTGTGCAACATCGCCCTGAGGACCCCATACAGCTCCACGATTCCAGCCCAGCTGTAAGTTGCCCCTTTCTCTTCTTTTTGTGCAATTTGTGAAGTGTGAAGCATTACAGCCACTCTTGGAGATAGTGTTGGGATCACTTTTGGGGATCTGGGTACCAGTGAGAGCCAGTTCTGTCTCTCCTGCCCCATTCCTTCATTTATCAGCATCTTCTCGGTACCAGATTACCACCTGCCCGAGCAGGGGGAATCATCAGTGTCAGGAAAGCGATGTTGGGCAGCCAGCAGTGCAGTGCCACAGCAGCGATGAGGGCATGAAAGCAAGCCTAGAACTTCAGCTGGAAACATCTGTATTTTGTCATTGCTTTTTGTTAACTGTTTTGGGATGTTTATTCTGAATCAATTATTCCTGCTTGGCGTTTTCTCCTTGTCAGAAGAGGGCTTCCCGATGGTGCAGGTACAGTCAGCCAGTTGTGTTTATGAATCGGCACGATGGCAAATAAAGTACTGAGGTAACTAGCAGTCCAAAAATTGAGATATTTAAAATCTTCAGTAGTCAGAAGCCAACCAGCAGGCAGCAATTTGAAACAGCCAGCAACAGGCAGTAACGTCAGTGTTTGGGGGTGTTTCCAAACAGAACCCTCAAACCAGCAGAGTGCTAAGCACGCTGCAGCTTCTCCGCCTGTCTCCAGAGATGCTTTCTCTGGTTTCACAGTGACAGAACAACCAGTACTCTTTACTGTGTTTAATCCTGAAAGCCTTTTACGCTTGTGGTCTCACTATCTGCTGCTTTATCCCTGCAGGCCTCCCAACCTGGACATTAAGCATGTCATGGGTTTGTCCGACTTGAAGAAAAAGCTACCAGAAGCTGCATTTGGGAAAAAAAATTACATTGAGAATGAAGGTGAGTGCAAAACCCGCTGGTGTGATGAGTAACATCTGCCTGTGCTGTGCTGTAGGAATTACCGTGGGGGGTCAGAATGCAGGTCCAGGTAACACCAGGCTTTCTCTTGGAGTGTGGTTGATTGCAGGTAAGTGAGGAAAGATGCCAAGGCAGCACAGGGATGTTTTTCTGTCCGTGCTTCATACGGTCTCCTGGTGTGAAATAACCCTCTTCCCAAATCAGCCCGTTCCTGGGATAGGACGTGGTGGGAGATCCTGTTCTGAGACCTGAGCTTCCACCCTGCAAGGTGCCAGACATGGTGGAGCTGAGAGCAAATGCAGGGAGACAAATTTTCCCTTTTCTTACATGATTTCCCTAAGAGGTGAGGGACATCCCACCTCTTAGGGTCTGACATAGTGTCTCCTGCATCTGTGTGGATGCAGGAAAAAAACCAAAAGATGTGGCTGCCTGCAGCAGGTCCACAGGTAGTCACAGGTCACTTATCACTTCAAGGGGACTGACAGTGGATGACGTTGTGAGAGGAGTTGAGAGACTTTGGGGAGAGGCAGGGAGTGCTCAGCAATCAGCAAATAAAAGCACAGATTTGGGGAAGGAAGGGAAGGGCTCTGCTGTCCCCTTAGTGGTGCTAAGAGACCCAGCTTGCCTGTAGTCAGCCACTCTCTGTCCTGGTCACTGCAGGGTGGGGAGGAGGAGACTTTATCCAATTACATTTTGGGATTCGTGCTGCTGATTGCTTTATTGGGTTGGAATTTTGACAAGCCTGGCAGCTCTCAGCCCCAAGATTTGAGCACCCGATGTCTGTGAGTGGCTGTGCGTTGCAGTTACTGGCGTGGATACTGCAGGTTGCACATGGAGAGCTCTGGATGTGATTTGCCAAAGCTCCAGGTGCATTTTCATGTTATCTTGCACCAAAATAAGTGTGGGCTGCTGCAGTGTTGCCTCCCGTCTGTGTATGAGCTCTGCTGAGCCAGGTTAGGGCTGACAGCCAGCCTTTTTTGGGGTGTTAGCATTCAGCTGACGGTGCAGATGGACGCAGGATAGTGCCAGGGCAGGGGAGAAGGCAGGAAAAGTCGGGGAGGCCAGAGAAACACTTGAGGAAGGTGTTGTGGAGCCACAAGAGAGGAAATATTTGAACAGAAGAATTTTGCTGTGAAATTCCATGGGATAAGGTGGGTCTGAGATCTTGCTTTTCTTAAACTCCATTGGGAAGTAGAGTGTGGAATAAGGATGCTCCATGGCAGGGGAGAATATGGCATGTTAAAATGAGATATTTCCCTCTGAAAGGCTCCCTGTCTCTGTTGAAGCACACAGCACTGGTTAAATTGCATTTATTAGCTGCAGACACAAGATAGGAAACATCTCCTGTGAACCACGGGTTGAAAAGGAAACTCACTGTGATATGAATGCGTACATCAGCTTAGGAAATCTTGATAAGTTTTTTTTTTTAAAACTCAGTGCTTCCACCAATTGCACACCCATCTTCCTGGTACAGGAGCACTTGTTTGTTCAGAGTTCATGCAAGAGGCACTGTTTCAATGTCAAATTCTCTCTCTTTTGTCTGCAGTCTGCTTTCAGGGTGTTTACTTCAGTCTGTATGAAGTAGAAATATCCAATAAGGATCAAAATAAAATGGATCAGTTAGTAGAAAATCTAAAGGAAAAGGACTTGGTAAGTATTTTAAAACTTTGTCATTCTGGGAGGAAAGTGGCTTTTTGAATAATCTCTTGAAACTTTTGGTAACATTATTCACATATGCAAAATGTAATTAATTTCCTTGCTTTAATTATTATTTTCCTGCTTGGTTATTCTCAAACATGGTTTAGTCTTTCTGTATATGAACTGTTTACTGAAGATTGCCCACTATGAGCTGGGAACTGATTTCGAGGGTGAGCATACCTTGCTGGGCAGAAGGCATTATGTGAGGCAAACCTCTTCTTTGGCTCTATTTATGCCAGATGAGATTATTTTCTTGTCTTTATTAATTAATTTCCCCCTGTATTGTGAACAGCATGGTGGACAAGGACTGCAAGGGGATCTTATATATGAAGAAAGCAGAAGCAAAGTCCCCCAGTGCCAGAATGACAATTATTAAGCAAAAGACGTGAGCTGTCACATGCCTGCCTTTCTCCCTTGTGGCTGAAAAAGAGCCGCTACTCAGATGGGTACCCGCAGTTACGCTGCCGAAACCTCACGGGCTTCTGCGAGCTCTGAAGATGTTGAGATTTATTCTTCTTTTTAATGGGGAATTTCCCTTGTGATGTATTATCTGATAAGGTTTTTTTTTTCCAGCACATTGGGGTCTTTTTGTTCCCAGCATGATCATCACATCTCCTTGTGACTCCAAGGGATGAACTTCACCCCCATGGAGCACAGCATCTGCGGCTCTGCTGGGATTTGTGGTTGGTTTGGCTTTGGCTTTGCTGTTGGTGATTCCTCTCTCATATCTGATGCTTCCTGTAGATTCAGGGTTGGAAATTCATGTCCAGACTCTCTGCTGGCTGGGTACGTCCTCCCCTCACTATAAGTTGGCAGTGGCCCACAAACTGCCTGGAAGTGCTGCAGCTGAAGAGCTTCCCACCACCTCTAACATACCAGAGCAAGTCTTATTGATCCCTGAAAAAAAGACCACTCTGACTCCCTAAAGTATTGATGAAACTTTTATTGGTAACAGCATGAGAAGAAAAAAAGGGGATAGCAAAGGCAATCTTAATGTCTCTTCATGTGCTGGTAATCCTGACATGTGCAGCATCAGTTGGACCAATTGTTGGAGCACAGATCTGTCCGTGCTGCAGCTCATCTTGAGGTTCCCAGCATCTGAATGGCTAAAAATTTATCTGTGCTATCCTTTTTCTTTTCTGTTCTCAGCCATAAAAGATATTTTAATCAATACTTTACAGAATACAAGTGTCTTGCTGCTGGGATCCATGACAACTGCTTTTTCCAGTGCATCACACCATGTTTGCAGACGCTGAGGGTTATAGCGTTCATCCTGCCAAGCCCAGCGGAGCTGTGCTCTCTAGAGGAATCAGCGAAGAAACAGAGAATCATAGAATCATTAAGGTTGGAAAAGACCTCAAGGATCATCAAGTCCAACCATCA